GAAGCAACAGCCACCTCCCTACGACAACAAAACAAAACATCAACCAAACCGCGTGCTCCTGCGCCAAAGGATGGTCTGCCCCCCTGTACAATATATCTTCGTCTTTCCCCAGACACGACGGGTTCTGCGGTGCTACAGCAGTCGCTGGTTGCATCAGCGAGAATGATTCGAGGGGCTCGATACTACTGTAGATGCCATCAACACCAAATAACACACGACACATGCTCACCTGCGCGGTCTCGAAGTGGTTGATACCCAGTTCCAACGCCCTTGGTATGATCACACGATAAGGAAGGTCGATATATACCGCACAGCAGTATCGGGGCAGGGATAATGGATAAGGTTGGGAGGGCATGCGATGAGACCGGTCTCAGACAGATGCTGGCGGTCGGCGACAGATAGAGGGGGAGGGATTGTACATGCTGCTCATCAACACCAGTCACCACTACCAACTACAGACGTACGGCAGGGTGGCAAGTGTTCGGCAGGGCATAATGCGTTTCTAGTTTCCGTTGGGCGTGGCGCACTGCACGACACGAATGGTACCCGAAGTTAAGTGTCCATGTACTGTACCGTACTGCTGTTGTTGACACCCACCTGTCAACGATGGCTTGGAAGTTGTCCTCGCACTCCCTAGGGATGTCGGTGTTGCTCGTCGTGGTCTCTTGAGGTTTCCATGTAATCTGCTGCCGCATCCCGCCGCACGTGATGATCGGCATCTTGAGCTCCGTCTTCCCGAACCTGACCTACAGTACGCAAGCATTAGAGCCCGACAGGACACGTGCGATGAGGACGTAGGAAGATGAACAGAAGCATCCCAAGATAAATGCCTATGCCGCAAAATTTNATCGACGTCTTTCGTCTTCCGTTCGCAAAAAGGTGACAGTCCCGTTTTGCGGGGTTTTGGTATTCAGGTTGGTGTGTTGCCAGCAGTGAGCAGGGAGAGAAAAAACACGAACACCCTCAATAGCCAGCACGTACTACCGTCTGTTCACCTCTAGTGCGGTTTGTAGCAAGCGCAGTTTTCACTNCCCGCTGAGTTGGGAATCAGTGTCGTGAAAGCGCGCTGAAACCCGCAGAATCGACGTATTTCGTCTTCCGTTCGCAAAAAGGCGACAGTCCCGTTTTGCGGGGTTTTGGTATTCAGGTTGGTGTGTTGCCAGCAGTGAGCAGGGAGAGAAAAAACACGAACACCCTCAATAGCCAGCACGTACTACCGTCTGTTCACCTCTAGTGCGGTTTGTAGCAAGCGCAGTTTTCACTTAGTAGGTCGATCACAGTTTCTGAGCAAGCTTAACGAAGCCGCTCAACGACGCCGGGAGCGTGTAGCCCTCTCTGCTGCTGTGGGTTCTGGATCTTTAGTTGGGTCAAAACTTGGCCCAAACTTGTGGAAGTAAAGATTCATTGTAGTCTCCTCACCACACCCGCGCCACGCTCACACGCGCACACTTCAACACAGCAGCCGCTACCCTCCAAGTAGACATGAGTGCGCTATCGAAGGCTTCGCGTCTGAAACGCAAGCCAGTCGAGAGTTCCAAACCACCCTCCAAGCCCAAGAATGCGCTGGAACCCGGCAACCCCCTGTGGGTGTGCCTCGACGTGAAAGACTGCCCCGACGGTCGGCTCGCGGTCCGCACGAAGCGTGTCTTCATTTTTTATGTAGTCACAACCGTTTTTTTTTTTTGTCTTCTTGCGTCATTTTCCAGGTTCTAGCACGTATTGTACTGCGTCATCTTTTCCTCCTGTGGTTCTGGGCTTGCGTTGTCTTCCCATGCGCACCTATTGCTACTGTGCATTCGTTTGTAAGTAGTCACATCTGATTTTTCTTTTGTTTTGAGTACTTCCTGCGAAGTCTCGGCGTTCCTATCTAATACAAATTTTGCACGGGAATGTTTAGTATAGTATAGTATGTTTAGTAGAGTATGGAGAACCTGTACTAACGGCTGAGTAGAGTAGAGTATGAGAGAGGTGAATACTCTACTCACCTGAGTAGAGTACAGAGGTCAGGTACTGAACTCAAAGAGTATGTTTAGTAGAGTATGAAAAGCCGTACTAAACCGCAAGAGTACGTTGAGTAGAGTATGAAGAGCCATACTAAAATGTGAGTATGAGTAGAGTATGAAAAGCCGTACTATACTCAAAAAAATGTTTAGTAGAGTATTGAAGAGCCGTACTTACAAAAATTTTAGTATAGTACGAAGAGCTGTACTAAACGCCACAGTATTCTTAGTAGAGTACGAAAAGCTGTACTAAACGCCACAGTACGTTTAGTACAGTATGAAGAGCTGTACTAAACGCCACAGTACGTTGAGTACAGTATGGAGAGCCATACTGAACGCCACATTGAGTACAGTATGGAGAGCCATACTAAACGCTTAGTACAGTACATGTAC